TAATAGCTGTTATATGAATTTTTGAATCATTATATAAATTGAGATATTTTAAATTAGGGTAAACTTTTACTATCATTTTTAGTGCTTTATCTGTGCTTTTGTAAAATTCAAATGAATTATATTTGGGAACATGTGTACAATACAATGTCTTTGATTTTTTTATTTGAGAGATGCTTTACATACTAATTCTATGAATTATTCAATTAAGAGCAGTATGATTGCTTTTCCTTTAGCTCAATATTTTTTTATAGATTAGGGACACTGTATCTGCATCAAAATCTGCTAATAAATAAAGTGGGATAAAGTGAATCATCTATTGCTAAGAAATATAAAATCTTCTTTAAAAGTTTTGGTATATTAAAATATTTGAATGCGTCATGAATAGTATGTATTTTATTCCATATAATTTAATCAGAAAAAAAAATGGGCTAGAATGCGCTGTGCTAAATCCTAATTATTGTGAAACTTTACAATTATTCTTGTTTAAAGCATCTAGAATCATTCTATTGATTCTTTCTTTTTTCCATCCATCATCATGCTTTTTTATCTCATCATTTCCATTGCATCTACTTGGGTACTTTGCAAGTTTGTAAGACTTAGAATTTCTTTACAGTTGAATCTTCTTTTTTGATTCCTTTTTAGGATAATTGTGCTGAATATGTACTGTTATCTCAGAATCAGATAAGCCAAGTTTTGTTTACATATTCCGTGATGCGTTAACGTTGTGATTAAGGATTTATATATAAATATATATATATTTTTATAAACTGTATATTATTGGAAATCTCACAATATATATCATATAATGTCATTGTTATGCACGATGATCACGGCTATTGAAAGATTCACCTCTAATAAAAGAAAATATTTTAATATAAGTTGATTTTATTAATTTTATGATATTAATTAGAATTTTATGACGCTATTCCATAAATTTTGCAGTTTGTTTGTAAAAGACGACGCAGCGTTCCTTTAACATTTTGAAGGAATAAAAAACTATAATTCTCAAATTAAAAGTATTTTCGTGATATACATTGTTAGCTTAAACAGTTCGTCATTAAGTTAACTAAGATTATTTGCTAACAGGGAATTTAAGTGCGTCTAAACTATAGAAGAAATAAACACGGATTAATTCTGTTGAAGGGTCAGGTCGTCTTTATCGATATAGATTTAAAGAAGTATGAAATTGTACATTGAGCAAAGATATAATTGTTAAGAGATAAATATTATTGATTTATTAGAGAATTGTAGCGACTCTGCTATTTATTGAGGCAGAAATACAAGATATTTATATAAAATACATCAATATGAAATAGATATTTAATATAGTAAAGAAAAATAAAAAATATAATATAAATAAGAAATTAAAGATATATAAGAAATTATAGATCGCTAAGATCGCTAAGAAATTAGAAAAATGATAGAAATCATAGAAATTAAAATCCATGATCGACGGGATCATCATTCGCTAATTATAATTAGCGCAGTACTAATGCGTCATAACTAGACTATCACTAACAACATTTTAAAACAACATAGATTCTCTTTAAAACTGGTAAATAATTTAAACAACAAAAAATCGGATGATTTGATTTATAACGTTATTTACATTATTTATAAAGGCTACTAGAGGGTTTTTAACGCATGGAAGGTCTTTTATAATATTTTTAATAATGCAATAATTTACTATTGTTATATATTATGTCAGTTTAATTTCGCTTCATAAAAAACATGTCCGTATAAATGTATAAATCAAAAGATCAGAATGATTGATTCTCAAATAAAGGTCACGCTGTTTTTTTTTCTTAAGCTAATTAATACTCAAATGAAAGTAAAGGTGACTGAATCCTTTTAACATCATAATACGATATTTTCAGTGATTTCAGTATTGCATTGTGATCACTATTCTCTTATAAAAAAAGTAGTAAGGATGCTGTCAATTAGTTTGTGAGCAACCTGTTGATGGCGATGCTGACTTTTATGCTATCGCTAATGTTGAGAATGTTGCTGATATTCGCCTGAGTAAATTTAATAACAATTGGATAATAATCATCCAAATTAATAAGGTCCAATTTTTCGTAGACCAGTCATTATATACGAATGATTTGGTTCATCCTCTTGGCATTGGGAGAGGAAAAGGGTAAAATCCGTTGATAGTCAGGAAACATTGGTGCGCCTCAAACCCTCATAGGAAATTGTAAACTGGTTAGAAGCAAGACGCGATGATTAAAGCTAGTCGCGCGATCCTTTGAAGGTGGCTGTGATATATGAAGCTTACGAGAGATTCATTCCCAGCCCAATCACATTCTTCATTTCCAAAATTACCATTGCAGTTATTGAATGAGTTCCGTTACAACGCCATCAGAACTGGTTCATCTTCATTCTTCTTAATTTGTTGTAGCTGTAGGGTAAAAGCCAATTCTTCAACCGATTCTACATTTCAAAACACTACATTCATTATCATAGTGATTTTCCATATCCTCTTTAACTATCTTCAAGACTTTTTGTGAAATGGTAAATTTTGTTCTTAATCTGTTAAAAACATCATTACGATAAATTACAACTGATGACGCATTTAAGATCGCGGATGAGGAAATTTTTTTTTTGGTCATTAGTGTCACTATGCGTTATTTGAATCGACCGATATAGCTACGTTCAATAACAATATTATTATAGGGAAGCCGCTGTTAAGTCGGGAGCATACGTGTAATGTAAAGAACCAATCCGAGCTGGGGACATTGCGTTGTATTATATACCATCCGTAAAGATTTCTGTATAGTACCCTATATATAGCATTTTAGACGGCTTAGAATTGATAATATCCGGGTATTACAAACCACGAATTTAATACTCAATGTATAGTATTCGGGTATAATATTAACGATCAGTTATTTATATTTTACAAGTATACACCATATATCTGATATAGTACACCTCCCTAGTATAGTATCCCGTAATATTGTAGTCTGTAAAATACCCGGATACTTACAGAACGCTTTACGGTAGATGTCAATTTTGATAAAAATTTCTCGGAACTTAGATCACAACCCATATTGTCCTTCGCTTCGCTCCGGACTAATCATGAGACGGTGTATGATAATAATAAATGTTATGCTATATTCTGCAAAATTTCGAATTTTTAGAACATGACTTTACCCTCAAACCTTAACACATTCGCGAAAGATAATTAATCACATTTACTTATTTGCATCTTGAAACTTCCAATGCATAACAGATAACCTTTGTTCTTGAAATTGAAATCCGAATCGGTGTTCTTTGTATATTTAATTATTGTAAACTACATTTTTTAATTTACTTTTTTTTTCCTAAATTCGGGTGTGGTAAAATTTTTCAGGGGATATATGAAATTCCGCAAAATGTTACAATTCACAAAATATAAATGCATTATTATCGCATAATGTTTGGGCAATAAAAGTGTCTACAAGATCACACAAAAATTTAGTCAAATCATTGTTATCTATATGTAATAAATAATAACCGGAAATATTTCTAATTGATCTAATTCGAAACTAGGAACATTTTTATTTGCATCGCACTTTGAAATGATTGGTGGATAAATTTTAAGAACAAAATTACTTTTACATATGAGACCTAAAGGGAAAGAAACTGCCGGGAAAATCAATTTTACTTTTATATTCCAAATTTAACATTAATTCATTTTTTGTTTTTCCCGGCAGTTTCCACCCTTTCTACTGCAAAAGTCCTATAGATTTAATAAACAAAATGATTTTTTTTATTTTGAGCTTAAACCAGCATGTATGAGATAGGAGCAATGGATTAGTGATGTATGCTGTATTTATTAGATATCCATACACCAATCGTCACTAAGCATTTGCCCCATCATTACAAGATGGAGTTTACGTATATTTTAAATAAAGTTTAGAAATAGGCTCTTTTTTTTACTTTAATTTTTCATAACATTATACATTTTATATGGTGTATGTACCAAGTACGATATGGGTTGGGTATTATACAAACCTAATTGTTTCAATATGTAAGTTGGGTATTTATATATATACAAAGGATTTCAACTAAAGATGGCGCTGCAATTACCAAAATAAGTTGCCGTTTTTTTTATATATATATAAATTTTTTTATATTAAGGTCACGAGAATCTAAAAAATTTTTTTTGCCCGGCCTAATCTAAGGATTTTATATTTTTGCGTTTCAAATTGAAGCGAAATTGGGACAATAATACGTCAGAAAATAATTTCATTCGAGATATATATATTAATTAACAAATTTTAATGAGTTGAACGGAAAATTTCTTTTAGATAAATATAAAGATATTAGTTGATAATTGATTATTCTTAACAAACCCATATTTTTAATACATTTTCCCATATAAAAATAAAAATAAAGATCGTATGTATAATGACTAACCAGTTACACATCTGAAGGTGATAATGAATACACTAATTATTTTATGTGATACCTTTATATTATCAACTGTGGAGGTTCTAAAAAGGACTTGGTGCGTTACAATTGCGATAAGTTGACCAAACCTTTAGAAGATAATCTTTTAGCAGTAAAAAAAAAGAATTTTGCTGAAGAACTCATCTCATATAAAGGGACATGTTCTGGAACATTGAGACTAGACTATATATGGGACAGTCTCAAATTATTGGGACGTATAAAATGCACATCACATCACTCTATAGGTAGCTGTATAACATTTACCAGATGCATAAAATGAAAATATTTTAAAAAATTAAAAAAAAAATGGAGGGTGACAAATATTAAATATGAAGAAATAAATAAAGGGAACAATTGCTAGAATGACAGAAGGTATCAAATGATATATTGTTTTATTTTGTTGATATTGAACGCGAAACTTAAATACTATTTTTTTCCAAAAGAATAATTAATCTCAATCAAGGAGGACAATTTTTTTCTTTAAAAAAAAAAAAATTCTAAAAATTCTATAAAAATAATTTTCTCAATGAACAAATATGGATTCAAAAAAAACCACAAATTTCTTAAACATCATTTAAAATAAATGTAATTTCCATCTTGGAAGAACGATGCAAAAGCCTAGGCTCGTTCGGTGTGAACGAACCTACATTGTTGGCGTTATTATTTCTAAATCAAGAATGACATTAAATATTTTAATAATTTTTATTTTGTCGTTACATTAATGTCGATTAAACTGATTAAACTTACATTTGTTGCGATGATTGTTGAGGAGTTTGTTGTGCAGTTTGTGCAGTTTGTTGAGAACGAGGACGGCGATCACTAGGACCTATAATTTCTAAATATCTGCTCAAGGAAAATTTTTTTTTAGTAAATATTCGAACTATTTCCATTTAAAAGAAAAATATATATTACTTCTTTCTACAAGCTTTAGCGGTTTTTTGACCTCCAAGTTGGGTTGAGATTATTGCCCAATTTTCATTATATTGCTTGGTTAGCTGAATGAGAGAATTTATTTCCTATACAAAATAAATATGGTAAATTTATATAATTCAATCAAAAAATATATTTCATTTGAATATCTCATGATACAACTTACATCTTGAGTCCAAATTTCCCATCTCATAGCTGCTGGATTCATTTTTTAAGCTCGAAAATAAAAATTTTTTTTTTTTTATTTTAAAGAAGGAAAGGAAATTTAAAGCACACTATTTATTACATTTTTTATAATATGAAAATTTGATTTGCTTTGCAATATCTATCATATCTATGAACACGAAAAAGAAAGATTTTAGCGCGGGATTACTTACTGTACATCAATTTAAATGTTTATATATTGAGATAAACAATGGATACAATTGGTATTTCTTCGTTCCATTATAGTTTTGCTCCCCTGCATATTACCTAAAATTAAAAACAAGAATTCAAAAAAACTGGTTTTTACGATCAGTTCACACACACATGGTCATGGCCACATTTCTCATAAAAATTTGATATTACCAAAAAAAAAAAGCACTCCCATAATATCTTATAATAAATAAGAATTAAAAAATTTGATTTTAATGTACTTTAATATTAACTCCGTGTTAAAATACGCCACCGTTAATGATTAAGCAGTGTTTCACGTGGTAAATTAATTACTTCAAAAGTCAAATATTTCATGTCATGTATGTAACCATTGCAATAAATCAATACTAATTATAAACCTTAGTAATTAATGGGAATTGGTTAATAAAATAACTTAACCCTAATCCTAACCCTAATCCTAAATCTAATCCTAATTATAAATTCTAATCCCTAACTCCTAATCCTAACTTTATTTATTATTGAACTATAAATAACTATATTGAATGCAGATTCGGCTCTGGGGATTTTCAAATAATCAATATTGTAATATTGTTACGATAAATATATTATATTGTCAAGATCCGATAGGCCCGTGCGATAATATGTACTGTTTATAATTAATTAAATAATAATGGGTAAATCTTTGTTCACAAAATCAGAGATTAATTTATTAAAATATGATTGATGATACAAAAGGGATAACATTTTAAAGACTGTCCAACCAACTATCTGAGAGAGCATTAGTGTCACCCATGTGTTAATAAAAAAATTTTTTAATTAAAAAAAATTTTGAATTTTGAATATTATACCTTTTGAACACAAAAATAAGTTGTGAAATCTATTATATCAGCGGAACCTTTATCATATTTATGATACCGAAATTTTCAATGTTAAATTAATTACTTTATTTGCATCTTGAAACTTCCAATGCATAACCGAATTCGGTATGTTTCTTTTATAGATATTTTCGTTAAATTCGAATTTGGTAATTTATTCTTTATATACGACATTTTATTTTGCAATACAATTGTTTTTTATTTTAAAATTCGGGTGTGTAAAAATTTTGCTTTAAATAAAAAGTTCTGCAAGAATGCATTGGAAGGGACGATGATATATGGAATTCCGCAAAATATCTCAGATCACTGAATTTTTGTCAGGTTTGATCTAAACGGAAGCTCTTTCTGTGCACAAAGTGTGTTTATATTTGATCGCACACCGGTCAGAAACATTTCTTGGAAACTTACTAACTTTTTTAGGTTAGATTGTTTAAACTACAAGATTATGTCATTTCTTAGATATAATAAACAAAAAGGATGTCCCCTTTTTTATTCTTGTGTTCATATCCTATTTCTTTTTTTTTTTTTTAAAAAAAAAAAATAATAATAATATACCTCGAAAATCATCTTATTTGAACTTAAAAATTGAATCCAGCAGTTTTGAGACGGAAGACTAGTGAAGTAAGCTGTATATTCAAACGAAATATATATTTATTGAATTATATAAATTTACCATATTTACATTCAAACCCTTTTTGGTAATCGGAGGGTTAGAGTTTGTTAACATCAGACAAATATTTATCATGTAATGTATCACGAAATTAATAATCAAAATGTATCGTTTTTGATTCGCAATGCGGACTTTTTTGATTCACCAAATCGTTGTCCTTCAGGAGTTTGTAATATAATGATCATGTCCTTCCTTCATGCACACGCGACTATAATTAATTTTTTTATCGTCCTTTTCTAAAAAGAAACAATAAATAGAATAATAATCCTGATAGTACAGTAAATATACCTTTCGGTCGAATTGTAAAGTGGTATCTTAATAATATACCTATGCTTAAAGTGTGCTGGCTAAAACATTCAGAGTCGGAAAATAACTCCACAGATTGTAAAAGAATTAAACATGCTACAGATGCTATTGACTTTATAGAATGGAAAACTAAGCAAGGAACTGAATAAGATTGAAGATACAATAATTTTAACTACAAAAGATACTTGAATTAAAAAAAGTATATATTATTAGGACACGAATCAAAAAAAGTGCAATTATCGAATCAAAAAAAGGACGATTTGGTATGTACTGTGTACATCATTATTTGTTTATATGATGAAATCTTACATTAATTAAAAAAAAAAAAATTATGAGATCTACCCTTATTGTGGGTTCTCATTGTTGTACATTTGGAAATTCAAAAATCATAAAACAAGAGACATTTTTCTCGTTAATTGAAACCCATAGGTTAATATATTTTTTATATTGTGCGCACAGGATAGAATACATGCCTTCTTTGTAAACAAGCGCGTTCCGTCGTGTTTTAAGCACACGTTTTGAAAGCTTTCGCTACGATGCGCGTTGTGTTACTGTACATTAAAAACTTTAATGATAAATTCATCGGTGATTGATGTTTCAGCAAAGTGAAAACCCATTTCAATCAGTTTCATATTAATAAACTTGTCTTTCAGAAAAGGGAAAAGAAAGAAGATTCATCAATATCAAAACGCCAAAAGACGCAACCGTTACTTGAAATTCAACACATGTTGGAATTTTTCAATTTGTTAAGACACAAATAAAAAAAAAAATAAACAACCGGCATGGAAAAAAAAAAGTAAAGCGTTTGACGATCTTCAATTTTGCAATGTTGCGCAACTCGCATTAAAAAATAATCTAACCCTTTTTTATATACCATGCGCTTTACCTACCTCTGTTAACATGCCACAAATTTAAGATCAACTCATTCAATTTACCTGTTTTGACCCTCTTCCTGTATAATTAATAAATATTTTTTTCTCATTTTTCTCGTATGCTCGTATGCGTGTTTGACACTTCATCAATTAACCACTTGATTCATAAACACACACGCACACACGCACCTGTCCGTGAAATTCAAAAAAAAAAATTTTTTTTCTCATCCTGACTGTTCAATTTTATAATTATATGCTAATTGTCACAAATTATTATCACACCCTAATAACGACAACCGGCTATCAACTTTGTTGCAAATTATAATTTTATTATTATTTTTTTATTATTTTAAAAAAAAAGATTCCACAAAATTAAAAGTGATTTTCAAAATTCTAGTGAGACATGCATGTATTCTACAAATTTTCTTTTTTGAAAATCTTTAATAAATAATAACAGCCAAACTAATATTATTTCTTTTTTTTACAGATTTAGCTCTTCCCAAACTTTTCGATGAAAGATGATTAGGGATCACCAACAATTGATTTTCTTGTTCGGTAAAGATTGGTAAAGAGACCAAACTTTCACGAAAATTTTCACTAAGGCGTTGGTTTCGTGATTAATGGGGATAATTTTGATGGTGAAGAACTCACTGAAGATGGAACAATACGCGATGCTCCAGGAAAACCTACATTTCCTCCCTTTCTTCCTCTTTGACTTAACCATTTATCACCAATGCAGGGTTGACATAATAATGCTCTTGTAAGAACCTTGAATATGGTGTATATGATGAGATCATCATTATTAACTCTCCAAATATCAGCCAACCATTGAACAATGTTTAAAAAGGAAGTCATGATGATGGCAGAGATCGAGACCATATAAGTAGCTTTGGAAAATAAGGCAGCATGTTGAATCGCCATCGTAACCTGAGTTGTATTTGTAGGAGAAATCACATCACCGAATTGATCTTCGGTATTTGGTTCGGGAGAGTACCCGTGACCGATAAAACTTTCATCAGCGAACATGAAGGGATCTAAGGCTTGCCCTCTATTAACAGCAGCAAAACTGGCAGCTACTATGACCATTACTTGACTAAAAAATCCTAGCCATTGAGATATTTGAGCGTCTAAACTTTTGATTGAATTCGTGTAAGCTTTTGCTTGTGACTTAAATACGTAAATTATTTGAAATGGTCCCCCGTAATACATTGGCCCCCCTACGATTCTTGGTACCGGTTTATGTAATGCCTTAGCTCCTAAATTTATTAACCCACTAAATATAAATAATCCGGTTTGTAACGTGGTTGTCATTCCGCTTATCTTTGCTACTAATGACAACTCTCCATCTGAGAATTCCCATTCCTTTAGATTAAAACTTCCCAAGAATAAGGTAAAAAAGAAGTCATTTACGGATTTTGATTCCCCGAGTAATGTTAACCAATTCATGATTAATGATGTGTAGTAAAGTCCAATGGTGATCAATACGTCAAGTTTATTCATCCTCTCAGTAATTAATTCGGTTTCTTTAGCAATTTCTTCAGGTGTATCATGATCTATCTCGCTTATCTTCCTTTCTATATCATCTTTAACCCCCACTCTTTCAAGTAAATCTAACCCCCTCTTTATTTTTTCTCCTGATTTAGGTCCCTCTTTGGGTTCCTCTTTACTGGATTTTTCATCATTTTTATCATAATCTTTGGGAACATCAATGATGATACTTTTACTTCTTCCCGGTGTCGGTTTTGACATTATATCGATATCGAACAAGAAAATAAAAATAAAAAATAAAAAATAAATGATAATTTGATCATTCTACATATAAATATCTATTATTATACGTGGCAAATATAATTTTAGCGAAAAACGCCTTCCACAAACGCGTCTTTCTGAATTCATACACACCCATGACATATTATATAATTCATGTATTCAATTATAAGCCTTAAAACTGACTGTTTGATCGATCCAACTAAAATGGAATTTAAATTAGCTAAATTTCTAAGCCATGATATGCTAAGCCACGATCTAGCGATATTTATTTCCATTTACCAAACTTTTATGACCATAAATCTGCTAAGCCATGAAATTGCGATCATTTTTGTATCGGTTTGAAAAATTGTTCCATCAAATGCAGATGAATCACGTAAAACAAAGTTTTATTTTATTCTATTCTTTCTCTTTCCTAAAAAATGCAAATCACATTTAAAGCATAGCCAATCCCGCATTTTATAGTATTTATAATTATATTTATAAAATTCCTCAAATTTGTCCTGGTGAAAGAGCTCTTGATTTTGTTTAAAGTTTAATACGATAAAAAACATTCGTCCTGAATCAAGGTATTTCAATTTATAAATGTTTCCGCGATATTAGAGCCAGTTTTGTAATAACGAGGATATGGTTAACCTCATTTCATTCTATAAAATATTTTATTTCTTTACCCATATTTCATATCTCGAGATGTAACATAAATATATACTACATATCTTCTGTAGCATTCTTGTGAAGGATACGTATTATGTATACGTGTTTATCCGGCATCCCGTGATTTTTTATAATTAATAATGACTACATCAAATAATGTTTACAGGCATAAAATCGTGTATCAGGCATTATTTGTATTTACATAAAACAAATTAATTATAAATAGTAATGAATTTTTTTATAATAATAGTCATCCTTTTTTTCTTTGTTGTTAATTTAAGATAGTAGCGTACCCATTAATAGGACTAAAAATTCACAAAGTTATTAAATTTTAAATAATACTAATAACTCTAGCTTAAAATGTAAGATTACTTACATTTTCCACTGAAAGAAGCGAGAAGAAATGATTAAAAATTGCGTGAAAAAATTTTTTAAGTTTAAAAATATTAAAAAATTGATTTTCATAATCACATAAATTACTTATCCAGAACTTCTCGAGCCGAATAACCACCCTCTGGTTTTTCATGATCATATATATCTTTTAAAAGAGATAATGCGTCTGTTATTCTTCTATATTCTACAAAGTTTCCATCATTAAGATTAGGTGAACAAAGCTTATAATAGGCATTACTATCTAAATCCATCTTTACAAGTGTTTAGGCGAATTATAACAATTTATTGATTTTTAGCGTTTTTAGCGATTATTTATCAAGTTATAGCAGTTTATAACAAGTACCGTATTCCTTCAATAATTGTCCAAACATTATAAAATTTATACCATTCGATTCCTCTCATTGAGACGAATCAATTGAGGTAAATTACATCATTTGTGATCACTAGATTACGAGATATCTTCGATTAAAGTTTTGATACTAAAAATACTATGTAAAAAAAAATGTTGCTTATTTTCGGAGGAATACAGTATATTATAATAAAATATCAGATTCATTTTTATACGATTTGGAGGATTTATGTAGGGTAATGTGCTAATTTTATTTCAATCGCAAATTCGCGGGAACGTTACTAGAAAGTGATCATATATTACACATGGCCGCTTTTATATATATAGTTTATTTAATAAAATATATTGTTGCTTGAATTAGCAATACATATTTGCAATACAAAAATTTACCATACAACATAAAAAAACACATATACTACTTTTTTTCTTTATATAATTGCGCTACTAATTATATGAGAAAAATAATTGATCACAAATATTATTCCTCATTATCTGCGCCGACATGATTAATAAAGATAATAATAGTCTTGGTGTTTTGATTAAATATTAGGGTAGTGGGGCGAGAAACTACAAATGGAGTAGTAGGTCTCAAAACTGGTGTCGTGGATTTTGAAGTTGAATTAGTTGCTCTAGGAGCTGTTCCAGTTCTTAGAGCTGTTTCTGATCTCGAAGTTTTTGAAGATTCTCCAGATCTTAAAACTTCAGAAGATGTTTGATCTTTTGACGAAGATGTCGGTCTTGGTAATTTAGACGCAGGAGGTAAAAAAAAAGACTCGCTTATATGGATCATGATTGGAGTGAGGTGTGAGTTTAAATTAGCATCGTATACAGTAAGTAGATTGAAGTAATGAAAAATGTAATGACTAGCGCCTTAGATCGAAGAGAAATTGATTAGGCTGTTTCCAAGCACCCTCACTCAATGATTTATTGGATAATCTGATTGGCCAAAAAAATCGAAAGTGATGATCATTTAAGTCAAAAAAACCTGGAGTTTCAAACCATCTTTTTTTTTCATAGAGCTACCCTGATTGGCTAAAATTTACCATTAATTGAGTAACTAAAAAGCTTGCATAAACATACTTCCTTCTTTTAATTTTGATATTATGGATTTTCAGCAACAATGTTACCAGCAATTTACGTTACTATTCCTTATATTACAAATCCTTATAGCAAATAAAAGGTTTCAGAATATTCAAATGCAAAGAATATTCAACATTTATTATCTTCTAAATTTTAATTATATTGTAGTAATTTCAACTATTCTTTTCCCTTCACAAAATACAAGAATACAAAGTTGGTCAAGACTTAAAACTGAAGGGTTTTACAGATGTTTTCTCATATTTAGTAGATGGAGACAGCTATAACTCTTTTAAAGATACTTTTGCATTATACTTACCACTTTTTGTGCTCTTATAATTCAATTAGAAAACTATTCAGATTTTATTTCAAATGCTTCTAATGTAACACATATATGAAAACAAATAGCTATTATATTATGATGATTAGCAAATAAAGAAGGAATGTGAGTATTAAAGTAAACACTTGGAGTGAATTAAGGATCTATAGGCAATTTTACTGATCAATTCTTAAATGCATTATTAGATTTAGAACAAAGATAAATTACATAATCACAGAATCAACAATTAATAAAAGTAACATAAGGTTTTGAGCTTAAAAACTAGACTTAAAAATCATAAACTGCCTATTATTATTAGTGTGATGAATAGGTCACATATACCTATTTATATACCCTCTAAGAATGGTACACATTATATAAATCATAAAAGTTTTTATTCTATTAATTTACTTGGAATTGTTGATTATCAGGAGCATTTTATTTTATATATGTTAGAGAAACAGGTTAATTAACAATAGTTTATAAATAAAAATTAATTTAATAAATAATTTTATTATAAGAAATGTACATAATGCTTGAGTATTTTCTCACTCATCTCTTTATCATAAAATTTCTTTATATCCTGAACAACAGATTCCAAGTAAAACTTATATTATTACTGATGTAGCATATTCTTTTAAAATATACTTAATAAAAGCATTTCCTGAATATTACATATTAACTCATATAGAAAGACATTTTAATAAAGTTTTTTCTTCAATGAGAATAGTTGTTAAACAGGCATTTGAACATTTAAAGAAACAGTAGAGAATTCTATTAAAAGAAGTTTACATATTGAACGAATTATTAAAATAATACATGCTTGTTGTATTTTACATAATATATGTATTGATATGAATGATTTATTACCTATAGAAGTGATACAAATAGAGAAATAGAAGATATAGATATTGATAGTAATGATATAAATAATGTAAGAAAAAAAATAGCAGATATTCAAAAAAGAGAATATTTGGCTGATATTTTAATGCAATAAAATATATACTTACTCTTTATTATTTTTACATAAAATTATATATAGGAGGTTTGCTAGGAAAATGGGGCTCTAAGCATTTTTTATTAAAATTTTAATTTTTATTGCATTTTAATCTAACATTATCAAACATTAAAATGCAATAAAAATTAAAATTTTAATAAAAATTACTCAGAGCCTCATTTTCCTAGCAAACCTCCTATATTATTGTATATTAAAAATAATTAATAGCTTTAATAATAATTAAAATTTCTTATTATTTTTATTTTATTAAAATTTTGTTAAAAACTATCTAAAAAGATTCATTTGTTCTTCATGTTATTTTTGTTATACTTCTAATGTATAAATATATTGATCTTTCATAATTTCAGTTATAATTTCAATTTGTTCTTTAATAAGAACTTGGATTTCTTATATATTTGTTTTTTTTTTTTTTTTAGTTTTTTAATATTATTTTATAATTATAAAAAATAATTTGGTTAAGTAAATATTAATAATAAAAAATTAATTAATTAAATTTTACCTTCTCTTCTTAGTTTTCAATAGTATTTTTTTTTTTATGTTTAATTCTACTAATTGAATCACTTGTAACAGGTGCAGTGATACTTAGATCTTTACTTAAATATTTATCCATATCATTAAAAAATTCTCAGTTATTTTAAATAGCTTCTTTACCTGTATTTGTAATTTTATCTTTTATATCACGATATTTCTGAAAAAGTAAGTTCCATTTTTGCTAAATAATGCTTTTGTACAATTTTTTAAACTGAATTTGCAAGATCAGAATTTTGAATAATAAAAATGATTCTATTTCAGATTTATCTTTTACTCTTGGACTTTTATTGTAAAGCTTATTAATATTTTCCTATTTGTTCAATAAGCATTCTAACTTTTGATAATAATCATCAATTAACTGATTTACTAGATGGCAGACTAGAAGTATCAAAAGATAGTGTGACTGTTAACTATTAATTTGATTTATTAAGTGATAAACTGAAAATATCAACAGAAGCAGGTATAAAACTTAGTTTAATAACTGATGTCTATTGATTAATTGTTTGATTAGTAATTGTCTGATTAGAAAATAAACTAAAATTATTAATAAAAGATAAACCTAGAGAATTAAGAGCAAAGTCTAGAGTAGGTCTTAGTTCAATAACTACAGCTGAGTTAGAAAATGATGGATTATAAGGATAATTAATAAAAGAAAATGAAGCTATTTAAAAAAAATTTATTTAATTTATTATCTTTTATGATAAATAGCACATTTTATTATAAAAGAAATAATTGCTTTACTACTTTATCATTTAAAGAATCTGTAAAATTTAAGCATCAGAATATGATTATCAAAATGATAAATTATTTGTTAAATTTGTAAAAAAAGGAATAACTAGACTTATAATTCTGTTGAAAATCTTTTTTTGAGATTTTTGATATATGATAAAAATAGAAAGAAGTTAAAAAAAGATTGCTCAAGCATTGATCACCATTTTTATTTCAATTGATTGAAAGCTTATATATTCTCAATATGATTGGCTAATAATTGAGATAGAGATACTTAAGAACAGCCTTAATTTAATAATAATAGGTTGCAACAGTATCTCAGAGAATTATATCAGTTTATTAATAGATAATAATAAATGACTGCATACATAATCATATGCCCATATCTGAATTTCATTATTGTGCCTAAAAATTCATATTATGATGATTTGAAATCATATAATTTTTAATTGAACCTGTCAATATTTTTTATACTAGCATATCTGAAAGAATGCTATTTGTCTATAAATAGTTAGGTACTCATTTAAATCTACAATGTTTTGAAACTGAGAAGAAACTTAGAAATCATATTATTTAATATAACATCAATTCTTGTAAAAAATCAATTTCAGAAGATCTAATTTATATATGTCTGTGAAAAAGTTGCAATAAATATTAAAGTAGTATTATTAAGTATTTTTTAGCTTTGCTTGTTTTATCAATTCTCTAAAAATAATAATTATTATTGCATTTTGCAGAGTATTTATATCAACACATCCAACAAAAATCATTCAAGATAATCAATATTTTACTTATTACCTTATTTTATAAGTATAAGGGTGACTAAAATAATTGCATTGATTTTTTTACTTAGTATCTAATTTGCAATTTTTGTGATTTAGTTTTCCTGATATGTTATATCATCACTTGGTTATGAATTATAATAATATTATTGTAAATTCTGATACTAATGATAAAAATAAAAAATTGAATTTAGGTGTATTACCATAATTCTCTTCAATCTAACATGGATTATATTTAGAATTTGCATTAAAGATGAGCTAAAACCATGTATTTTTAATTAATAATAAAATATTATTAGTAGAGTTTTTCAAAATTGAATTGAATCAAAAATTTAAGCAGTTTGAATTTAATTTGATTTTTTCAAATCAAATCAAATTAAACTCAAATATTTGATTGAATCAATTTGAATTTGATTGAATCAAATCAAATTGAATCAATATTTGTCAAATCAAATCAAATCAAATCAAATTGAAACAGATCGAATTGAATATAAAAAAAGCTTTTAATTTTTATAATAATATATTAAAATAAAGTTATTCTAAAGTTTTAATTAAGAAAATTATTAGTAATTACACTA